ATCGGATCAACCTTAAAAGAGCACAACCTTAATCCCAAGGCTAACTTTTAGTAGACAATGGACAAAGGTTTGCAGGTATCTGCCTTATCACAAGGAACTGCTACGTGTACAGCTGATATAGTTAGAAAAAGACTGATGTGCGGTTAAGCTATTGGATACAGGAGATACAATGTAATCAAGGTCATGGATTATATTTTAAGAATCTTTGTATTGTTGTATGTGTCAGTAGCACGCATACAGATCGCGTAGCGGTCGAATTTCGACCATTTTGAAAATGTAGTATACCTAACTGAAACTTGCTTTGTATAGACTTTTTTACCATGCCTTATGTGGTCGTTTTTATTTTTAACTTTACAGTACTTACATTGTTTAATTTTTTTACCTTTCTGTTAATAATAATAACTTCACACATCTCACACTTATTTATTCTTACTGACAACACTTAACAGAGCCTGCGGTTTGAACTTAGACTAATTAGACCGCAGGCAGGAGGGCATTAAGTGTCTACATAGGCTCTTGTTAGTGAATGCTAGCGCCACATGTTTTCCACTTATCTCAAAATATGGCACACAGCAGGTGATTTTAGTGTGATAAAAGCCTCGCATAACAACGAGGCTTTACGAAATCGACTAGTATTACTTAGTAGTATTATTAGTAGTACTTATTTCCTATTGTTTCTTGAAGAAGAAGGCTACTTAATAAATATTTTTTGACTGATGCAACCGACTCTTAGCGCAAATATAATATTTAATTATCTAGTTAACAGTAACTTCGTTTCTTCAGACTAAAATGGTAAAGCAAATGCGACTTCACCACAAAAATTTTTTTTTTGTTTGTTGGTCAGACCTATTGGATTTTGGTTAGTGACCCTGACTGCTAAGGTGGTAGTTTCGATTCCCACTCAAAACAAATTTTTGTGTGATGACCACGATCAGTTGTTCTGTCTGAGTGTAATTTATCTATAATATGTATGTATTTAGAAATTTATAAGTATGTTTATCAGCAGTCTGGATACCATGACAAAGGCTCTGCCTAGTTTGACTTCAGACGGCCGTGTTTGAGATGTGTCAAGTAATTAAAGAAAAAATGTTACTATCACTTGGAGGCGATATTTCCCGAAATACGATCGAAGAATAATTGTTCTTGTTATTAATAATCTCTCTTTCTGCGGTTACGTTATCAAAGCCATTAATAATTATAAAAGTAATTGCACTCGTATTGAGCTATTATTTGTGTAATATCTCTCTAAATCTCTTATCACCGGAGAGCAACCTTGTTGGTACTTTTACGTCATCAACCTTCTTTCTTCTTTTGTACCGATCAGGATGCAAAGTCAATTTACAGACGCGTTGTCTACACTAAGGGTATCAGAGGGCCCCCGGCGGACTCACCGTTCGCCTACCGGCCCATAGTGTTGCTTGACGAGGTGTGCAAGCTCTTTGAAAGAGTGATTGCAAGGCGCCTCGTCAAGCATTTCGTGATGGTGGGGCCGGATCTGGCGGACAACCAGTACGGTTTCCGTCAGGGGCGCTCCACCGTGGATGCGATCATGCGCGTGAAGGCTCTGGCGGAGGAAGCAGTTTTAAGTGGAACCGAAAAAAAAAGGGTATCAGAGGGCCGAGTGCAAGTTTATTTCTCATCGATTCGCTCTCGACCAGTCTTGCGATTGGTGTAAATTTCAGTGCGGGCCAATAGCAGCGCCGAACGCGACGACAGAGTAGATGTGAAATAAACTCGCACATGAGCCTCAGATGCGCAACCCCAACCCAGTAAACGGTTTAAGACTGTTCTTACATCTCCACCCCGTCCAGCAATGATACGTCTGTCTTATTACAATATTATTATGATATTCCGAGTCTGGATCGCAATGTAAACGTGAGACGTCAAACAGAGGGCCTAGTGTAAGTTCATTTCATTCGGTCACGGTGACCGCGTTCGGCGCTCTGATTGGTGTAAAGTTCATCGCGGGCAAATCCCAACGCCGAACGCGCTCATCGTGACGATCAAATAGATGTGAAATAAACTCTAGGGCCTCAATTTTATACCTTAGATAAATGGGTTGGTGAAATGAAGACAATGCTTTCATCACGAGGCGAGTAGATGTCCATCACAATCGTGGAAGAGCCATGTGTAAATTAGCCGGCTCGATTGCACAGACAGCTCGATTGCACGGACAGATGCCACAGCCTCACAGATAATCGCTGTAAAGCATTTTTTTATTTGGATTTTACGGAGTGAGTGAGGTTAACGGAGCTCAACCCCCCCCCCCCTCCTCCCCCTCCATTCTGGAGGAAAGAGGCACGCAATGGGCGACAAAGCATTTGTGTCTCTCGAGTTGTTTATATCGACGATGTGTGTATGTATGTGTGGGCGACGCTAGTTACCTTTGCATCTTCTACAATAAATAAACTTCCATGAAAGGATCCGATCATGTGTGTAAAGCCCATATACCATCATCACGTTGTCTGTCGTCATAAACTGAGTGGAGAGATGGATATAAAGGTTAGGAATCAAAAACAGAAACAACACATTATTTTGGGAACGGAATCGTTTATTGAACCCATCTGTAATAGTAGATAATTAAATTATACTGTTACTCTACACGTTTTGTACTGTTCAAAGTACCTACCTAGCTCAGGTATTCCTATCTCTTAGGTTATTATGTACCGACAAATGCACCCAATACCGAGGAATTACCATATTTTATCATTATAATTTCAAATTTCCAATTGTGCTCCAATATTCAGTGGTAGTTACCAATCACAGTACCTTTGGATCCTACGATTAATTAATACATGGATTATTAATTTCCATCAAAAAACGTTATTACATGTCGACTTTTATTCATTTAAATATTATGACAATGACACTAATGTATGATAGGGTTTATAACAGATTGGTCGTTTAAAAAAAATATTGTTACATTATTTGAACAACGATATAATATCAACTACAGATGAAATTCAGTATATCCTGTTAAGATCCAAGAATATTAATTGAAATAACTTACTATAATAAGGATTTTACACTTCCTTGTTTGGATACACACACCGGATTATACAAGTAACTGTATAAATTCGATAAGTACTGCATTATTTCAGATACGAATGAAAAATAACAAATCTACGTCTATATTATTATCGTAAAATATATATTATTAGGTTCATTGTATATAATTCCTTGTACATTCTACCATAACATTATGTTCCAGCGCGTGTATCCGAAACAACTAAAGGACGTCTTTTAAATTTCAAATTAGGCATTACATCGTAGCTATTAATAGCTTACACTAAATAAGTTAATATTTTAGATAATATCGATCGAGTCGTCGCTTCGTTTACATTTAATTAATAATAGGTATAAATCTTCCTTTATTGTCTTCATTCTCCACCATTAAAAAAAAAGCTGGGTATGAATTGTTGCCAATAAAAAAAAAGAACAGTGTAGCAGCGTAACAAGTGGCGGCAAAAACGTTTCGTTCAAAATCGCTTTGGTTCAGCCATTTAAAATAACAATATAATTAGTGTACATGTCTCTGGCTAGGTTCATAACCGTTCATTGTGGATAATTTTATAGACAGCTAAGAATAGCAACACGCTACAATTGTTATGATAAAAATAACAAGCGAGCGATAATGTCTACAATTTTATCAGCATTTTTTTTTCATTTTATGCACGGGTTTCCCGTGGATTACTCCAAATATAAAACCAGGTTTAGTCTTGCAAATTAAGTAGTAATTATTGACTTTATTGACAGAGACTATAATTTTGTAACATTATCGAGATCGACTATTATTTTTATCAAACATTATTTTAGTGTATCGGTTTGCCTTAAGAAATAATACAGATTCATGATATGTACCTAAGTATACACAAAAGATCGACAATACGCAAATGATACAAAATAAATATCGATGTAATCATAATAATTATATACATACACTTAACATACTTTAGTACCCTTCGATTTTAATGGATCTCTATAAATGGTTATTCGATTGTTATAGATGACTATTATTTAATCGATACGTAGTTACTAAATCGATAAGTAAATTGTAATTGATATTTACATAAGTACCTATTTTTACGATTATTACGCTGTGACCGCACTTTTAGACCCTGTCGCTCTCTTGTTCGTTTTACAACTCTTTTGTGCGAAGAGAGAGAGGGAGAGAGAGAGATGGCTACAGCGGTCGACTAACGCGACCGAGTCCATTTGACAGGTGCATAGACTCTGATTAACAGAACTCCACCTAGCTCCAACGTCAACGCTTCGTTCGGTTAGAAAGGAATCCATTTAAATGTATATGAAAATAAGTGGGACTTACAGTATATACAAAAATATCACATTACTTCGAGGCCGCAGCTTTCAATCACTTAGTTAATTAATTATTTCGTCTTCTTACCTAAGTTGTCGATCGTCGGTATGAAGCGTAAGCAAGTTATCGCAGGAAGTAATCGATCCAAAAAAAAACATAGTTCCTTGAAGCCGTCTCCTGGCCAGAAGCATTAGTTTATGCGCAAATCACTGAACAGCTCGGTGGACCCGTGCGAGATTTATCTGTTACTCTATATTATTGCTGAACAACAGTCAATCGCGTTAACACTAAACAACTTTACCAATTATACATATTATCATCGCATGCGCGCCTTTTACGCATACATCATCCCACCCACTAAAGAAAGTATATCTAGGAAGAATTTCTTTTAAAAGACTAGGTGCCTCGTCATAGAACTACTAAGTCAAAGTGAGCACTACGACACCTACGAGATCTAGATTTCGAAGCAGAAGAACGTCCTAACAAGCTGCAGCCCGGCGGTCCGCGCGGCCGACTGCGTGCGTAAGCGCCGGGACTCTCCGGGACACGCCGGGACTCGCCGACGCGCGCCGGGACTCACCGGGGCGCGCCGGGACCTCCGGCCCGACCGTCACCCACCGCGGACTATCACAAACGAGCGACGTAGAAAAATATAACGATCTGGGACACGTTTATTGCTAATTTAGGTACAGTCTTTGGGGGCCTCCGGCGAGGATCCGCCGGAGAGGTCATCGAGGAAGTCGAAGGTGGCGACGGCAGCGCGCTCGTGCTCGCCGTAGCGCACGAAGAAGCCGTCGCGGCCGAGGATGGACGGCCGCCGCGCGCGCCCGCAGCGCAGCGCGCCCAGCCCGCGCACGCGCAGCGCCGCCGCTGCACCAACACGAGATACGCCTTACGCCTACTCTCTACAAGCGAGCGCCCTCTGGGCAACAACACGCGTGAGCGAGACGGCCCGCGCCCGCCCGCACGCACACGCGCCAAGCCCGGTGCCGACGCCCAAGCGACACACGCGTCCTATCGCTCCTTTGCCAACTATTTTGTACCTTCGAATTTTATAGCTTATTTTTTCAAAACAAACGGCATGTTATCCTCAGAAATTCTGTTTTAAGCGTTACTGAATCCAGTAAAGCTAACATGACTGCTGGGGAATTAGCGTTTCTTTTTAGGAGCGATAAAACGCTTGCTTAGATGACATGACCCTGAATGAGGCGACAGTGAGATGGTGTGCGTGCGAGTGAGAGCGGAAACGTGTGACGTGGCCGGACGGTTGACCGTCAGACGACATGAAATGACATGAAACATTTAAGTTTGTCCGTACAGATCTAAGATACGTAGCAACTTTGATAATTCTCTTTTGAAATTATTTCAATGATATGTCAAGTTTAAGTTTCTCAACATTTACACAAACATACTAGTCTAGTACTAGCAGGTATCTAAAAATATTATATTTAAAACATAATTTAATATTCCTAAACTGTCTTAGCTGTGAAGATTTGTACGAACCAAAGATAAGCGTTAAATGTAGATATCAACATTAAAAAATTAATGTAAAGTTTAATTTTGTTAATCTTATATAAAAAATGAGTAAAACAGAAATCAACATTTAACGCAAAACAAATAAAAGCAAAACAAATTATTAAAAACAAATGAAAAATGTAATTGACCCAAACTAAGAAATGAAAGATTATTTACTTAATGAAAATAGCAAAAAATACAAATTTCAAAAGAAATCCTTATACTTTATATGTTAATTACAGTTGATTGTCGTGTTAATTACAACTTAATTCTAACGTATAATATTTGTTTTACTATTAGTATAACTGTTAAGTTATACGTACATTGCTTGTTTTGTACTAATTTGATAACTTTAAATAGTGAAAAGCTAAACAGACAATGCACTGGCAATGGACGTACTAGTTAAAAGTTACGCTGATCAAAGTATTGGTAAAGGGCATAGGATAGTGGAAAACTAATTGTCAATGTGTAAGTTTAGAAAAACAATTTACAATAAAAGATCACAACTTTAAACAAGGTTTGAGTTGATAGTCAAGTTAAGCACTTGTAGCAGTTGCCAATAGAAGATTAAGAATATTTTATTACTCTTCATAAAATATACCTCGATAATAATTTGTCATCTACCATTCAACAGGTATATAAAAAAAAGTCATATTGTTCTCGATATGGAGAACATTTAAAGCTTTAAAAGATAGAACTCAACCCCGAAAAAGAAATCAGAGGTCTCTGTGAGTTTCTGGTTAATAGTAAAGTTTATAAATACTGACGCTTGTGACCAATCAAGTTCCAAGAAATTATTGTTTCGTACGAAAACTTGCAACCTGATTGGTCAGAGTGTGGAGCTCGATCGATACGTCACTATTTTCTTAAAGTGAATGGGCTATAAGTGTTGTGTTATCTATTTCTTTTCCTTGGTTTTATTTTAATTGTTAAATTAAAATTTATATTTAACCTATCTGACATTTCTTTCAAATTAAAGATAGCGGTAATGTTGGTACGTATAATGGAAGTGCATATAGGTATACAAAGTGACATAAAAATGCATAAACCTTTGAAAATATGTACAATGTATACCTTAATTAAAAAAAAAAGAAAATTATTAAGCAGGCAGTACTAAGGAAACTTTTGTTTTGAGTTAAAAAAAAAATTTTTTTGTTTTTTAATTACTTAATTTTACTTACGAGGCATTTGTCTTTGGTTTCAGTTCTTGATTGGTGACACTTTTATATATACAGTATTTAAATTATTTACCCATAGCTTTTGTTTAATCTCATGACGTGTATGCACTATGAAATAATAAAAATGTTTCAATGAACTAGAATGCTAATGCTATCTTAAACCGGGAAATGTCAAACAGACTAATAATATGAACTGCATGTCAAATTAAATGTCAAAATTACCTGTCTTCTGTCTCCGGGACCTGTGCAGACGATGTAGTCTAGAGTAAGGCGGCGGCGGTTCTGCGGGGGAGGAGCCACAAGACGAGGGTGAGGAGTCGCTGGACGCCAGCATCACGTCCAGGAGGTTGGCACGAGCCTGGAATTTACAACATATAAAGATGTAAAATCTATCATGTTGACATTTAACGTTGACATTATGTTTTACGTAAAATAGGTTTTAGTTTTTGAGTTGACACAATTTTAAACATTTTGATATTTTCAAATGAAATATATTTCTGAACGCCAACTGTGGAGAGTATATTACATTATTATTTAACAAAAATCTGTCTGTCATTAATGCCATGACTTGTTTGATAAGATGATATTTTAAAGACATTTTACCCTCAGACTATTTATATTTTTACAGAGTAAGTATTACATTCACCATAATCCTATTTTTAATAATGGTAATTCATGTGTTATGTAGTGACACTGACCTTAGGATCACTGAAGTCAATATCCTTCTCGACATGTACCCAGCCGGTGTGCGCCCAGAGCGCGCTGTCGCGCTGCTCGTCGCCGCGCGCGTCGCCGCTCGCACTGGAGCCACCGCACACCGCACTTTCACTTTGTCGGATCATTCTACGGACACGCACATAATTTAGGTTGATCGTAGGTTACTCTTTTAGAACCATCTAAAGGGATGTTATTAAAATTAGTGTGAACACAATAGGCGGACACTGTAATTTAACGATTTCTATAAATTAATAGAAAAAAATATACAAAGAGACAGTCGATTCTCGTGGCTTCTATATTCTATTATTAAATAAATTGACATGTGATTGTCAGCGTAAGATATGACAAACCAACAACACTACAGAATTACGAGCCAATCAGGTGTTCGGCGGAAATTGATAAAATAACTTATCAATAACAAAAATAATCCTAATTGTGTAATATAATTCGTGGATCGTGATATGAGTAATGTCAATGAAGCTTATGTACGTTTATTTAGCTTCTTTGTTCAGTTTGCTAAATTATTATGTTCTTAATAATTGTTTTCTTGTACTATTGGAAGAGTTATGTGATCAATCCATTGTCCTTTACTTCACTTGAATAAACAAAAATATTACTTTAAATAATTGTTTAACCAAACGGTCACCCTTTTACATAGAAAAAATCTAATTACTTACCTATTAAGTTCTTCAATGACATCTTTAGAAGTAGCAGCCTCATGGAAGCTCAAAGTGTGTTCCTGTTTCACAATGATTGTCTCGGGGATTGAGGGGGTCGGCATTGGCATCGGTCGTCTCTCGACCACCGGGATCTTCGATTTATTTTTATTCGGTGAAGACGGCGGCCGTTTCCCTCCCATCAGCATAGGAATACGGCTCCTCTCTCTCAACCTGTCCTTCGGTGTATCGTTCTTATTACTTACTATCACAGTTTCAGCGGTAGACGTACTTGTCGTATTAGACTCAGTCATTTGAGGAGAACTTGTTTCCGGAGAGGAGCCTTCCTCTTCTTCAGGGACGGTGAGAAGAGCTCCTGTACTTCTTCGGCAAGCGCTTAATACTTCTTCTACAAGGGACATTTCCGGCTCATTTGCTGCATACGGCAAACTAGACGATTTAGTTATACTCGATTCTACTTCTTTTTCTATGGGCGATTGTTTGTTAAGCAGAATATTTACCGTATTTTCTTTCAATGCGGAATTATGATCTAATAATCGACTAGATTCAATATCACTAAGCCTGTCGTTCCTATCATCCTTCACTTGAGAAAGTTGATCACCGATTTCTGGAGCACCGTTGACCACTATAGTTTTATTTATTTCATTCTTCTGCTGAACTTTTACAAGATGATGTTCATTGATCTCATTTTCAGTGTTTTCAATCCCTGAAAGTTCATCGAAAAAACCTTCAGACTCAACGTAGGGTTCTTCACGTTCAATAAATCTTGGTGTAGATCTTGGCTCGGATACAGTATCACAGACGGAAATTTTGGGACGTTCGCCAGGTAGGACGTCACAGGAATCGTTTTCTGAAAAGCTACCAAACGAATCAGGTCGCTGTCTGTCTTCGGATACCTCGCTGCGGGGACCAACCGACTCATCATCAAAGTCTGCAGTCGCATATGGTGGAGGTAGTTCACGGATCTCGGATAAAGGTCGTGATGACATTGAATCGGACTCTTCTCTGTCTCTACAATATTTCTGTTGCTCCGCAATAAAATGAAGCACATTTTGCAATGCGTGTTCTCTGTCTGGCAAAGCCATAGCCTGGACGTCATGTTTTCGCAAATGACTACTAGTATCCTGTGATGGAATGCCCCTGGACGAATTTGAAGCTAAGCTCTTCGTACTTTCATACTTTACCAGACGGTAAAAATCCCTAGTAAAATCTAGACCGACGTTGGCACAGTCTCCATCTTCACTTAATGCCGTACTAGATCTTTTGTCAGGTACATCAGATGCGCTCGACCAAGACCCACCAGGAGAATGTGTTCCTGTGCAATCCCATCTTTTTTCTGAAGTATCTGCATCGTCTGCTATTCTACATTCATCGATTTCAATAGTAGCAAATCCGCAATCATTCCATAAACAATCACCGACATCTTCCTCTAATTCTAATGCGTCATCTTCCCTAATGCTTGGTAATGTTGAAAGCGAAATTTGACCAGGCGTAGTTATTTCAGCATAAGGGGAATGCCTGTCTCTTAGATCTTCACATGATAATGATAAGCTCCAATCTTCTAATTCTGCTCTATCATATTCTAAATCGGCTAAATCTCGATGTCTTTGTTGCAGAGCTGACCTTGCGTCATCTAGTTCAAGCCAATGTTGGACATAATCAGCGTCATATTGCGAACCATCCCCGCGATCATCTAAAGTGCTTCCCCACGAAACCCTTTCAGAACTTGTCGTAGAAGCTATCGCTGGCCGTCTAAGTGGTCGTTCAGGTGCTGGTTTCAGATCTAAGACTAATACACCAGAGCTAGGCGTAGGACTGTCTAGGCAACTTGTTGGGCAAGTGGTTCCGGCGATTAATTTGAGGCAAAGATGCGAATCTGAAAAACTGCGGACTACATGTTGAAAAGGTAATACTGGTCTTGAGGGAGGGTAGCTACCTCGGACACCGGCGAATGCTACTCCTATAGGAAAGTAGATATAGTCTGCGTCTGTTGCCAAAAGCCTAGCGCGCCTGCGAGATTCTCTGGGGTTGATTGACACTATAGTTTGGTTATCAGTCTCATCTGAAGCTTCGTTTAAGTCCGGAAGAGCTCTATCGGCCGCATGATCACTTTGTCGCGAAGCATCTGCCTGAACATCGCTGGACATTGTAGAGTAACCTTCGTCTTTGGCACCACTTTCTGGAGATTCTGCACCTGCCTCGCCAACCTCCCCGCTTTCTTCTTCTGTTACTTTTTCGCCACATTGCCCTAAAAATTACGAATAGTTATTACAAAATTACAAGACTTTGGAGACGGTTATCTGTATTTGTTTGCTTATTGCTACATAGGATATTTGGAAACTGCTAAGATGGGTTATGGTAACTAACCTCGAACGGGATCAGTGCAAGGTTGCGGCATGCTGAGGCTAAGTGTGGCGGGACGAGCAGGTGGCGCCCACAATGTTGGGTCCACTGCCGACAAAGCACGGGCCAGATTCGCGGGGGTCACCTCCAGCCCCTGAAGATAGTTTGATACAACTAAGTATATGAATAACTGTTAGGTTTTGTAATTTTTATAAATGTAACTTTAATTTTTTTGACATTATAATTACCTTTAGTTCAGTCCAAATGTCGGCCAAGATTTGGTGCCGCCGCTTATCGTCCTGGTTGAGAGGATGAGGATGCGGCACAGGCGGCGCGGGGGGCGGCGAGTCTCTGAATGAGACCAACGAACCACAGGAACCGACGTCTACCAAGTGTACTGAAATATGTCAGCAAATTGAATGTTACTTTAGGAGTTTCTAATTATATAAAAGCCATTAAAATTGTGTAAGTAACGAAGTATTTAGTTATTTATTATCAGTAAGATTTTTTTGATATCATGAGGCTGAGGATATCACTAAACAGACCTCTGAAGAACTATTGAGAAATACCTTTATTGAAAAATAGTTACTCATTAAGTAATAAAAACCATACCTTGCAGATCTCTGGGCGTAAGAGGGGTGATCGGTGTATGCGGGGTAGCGGGGGAAGGGCGTGGCTGTGGCCGCAACTGTCGTACTAGCAATGCGCTCAGCGCGCGGTTCTGTGCCTCCAACTCGCGGATACGAGCGCGTGCGCAGCCCAACTCCTCGCGGACACTCTGCAAGTGGAATGCAAAAAAGCAATTATTTTTTAGTTATTATGCTCGCTCATAGTGTTTAAGAAGTAATATCAGTAACTGTTTGATTGAGTAACATTTTGGTGTAACGCGCCTAGTTGCCTCATGTCTAGTGAATCAGTCGTATGGATGTATCAGAAGTCTTGCTTAAAGTTAAAAGTAGTTAACGATAATGTGCTTCACTTTCATAAAGAACTTATAAATAAAGTCGCCTTTATTTGACCTCATTTCTTGAACGGTCTTGGTTTATAAAAATGTGTGAAGTAAGTATCTTGCCTGGTTTTCTACATAGCTTCTAAACATTGACACAGGCCTGATTGATCAGATCAGAGTAAGAAAGCTTTTGATTGACTCCAACTCCTTGTAATTAGTTTAATTGAAATGAGAAAATTAATTACTTTTAAGCGTATAACCAACAATAATGAATAACAAATGCATGAGTTGTTTCGAGACCAACATACACATTGTCTTCGATGGTATGTAGATTACCATGAGAGACTAGTTTGAATCTATTTGATCCATTTTGGTTTTTTATGTGGCTAATTTGATTATTAAGATCAAACAATTCATTTTGGTAAAGTTGTTGGCTGTTGTCTCTCTCTTTAGCTTTGTCAGCCTTAACAATCGCAAAATCATCTTTAGATAAATAAATTTATAAAAACAACAAGTAAATTAATCCAAAGCATAACATGGTTTTCTTTAGTGCGTATATTTGTTCGGGTTTTTCTCAAGGCAACAATGACACATATTTTAGAAAATTTGTAGGTATATTTTTTCATTTTTTTGACTAATGACCTTGGTAACTAAGAGAGACACCATGATTAAAAAATTAAAAAATATTATTATTTTATTAATAAATATACATCCCTAATGATAATTCTGTCCATTAAAATGGAACGAACACAGCTTACGCATTAACAACCCCAATCAGACCATCTTCCTAAACATTTTACGAATGGCATCAAAATCCTGAAATATCTATTAGGGGCATCCCGAAATCAACGTGGAAAGTTTTGCGTATCTATGGTACCCTACCCCTCTCTTAACGTAGGATCTCGTCAAAACGTCTTCGAAATAAACGTGCACATTTTAATTATACTTCATTAGTTAAATTAAATTCGAGAAGCGTAATTGACGGGAGGTAATTACAAGGGGGGACAAAATAAGATAGGCACCCACTGGTCCTTCCTCGGATTTTGGGGATCCGGGACGCGGAAATAACTTGGATTTTGGTTTTGGTAGGATTTAACAAGTTTTGGGCATCGCAAGAGGTCGAGTTCCATGAAATTAATTAACATGTGCAGACATCTATAACTTTATGTACAAATGCCTATTGCGGAAGAACCAGTGCAACAAGGAAAGGTGGTAATTTCAGCGTGAGAGTTTTTTCTTGATGTTAATGCCGACAGGATGAAATGGTTATATCTGCATTTATTCTGTATAGCAACTTTATAAAATAATAGATATCATGAAAAAGGAAAATATTGAGTATACCTACATACAAATGTAAGACGTTTTTATGAACATTAATTTTTAAGTTTTAAAAGAAAACGAATAAACTTTATTAATCTTTTTTTTTAAATAACATGTATAGCCACATTAAACAGTATTCAGAACAAGAACAAAATAAAGATTAACAGTACCAATGCCAGCCATAATTTAACGAGAAAATACACTAAGTTTTTTAATTAAAACATTTCCACAAAGCTTCCGAAGGAAATTTTAAATTCAATAAACAGTAAATTATATTAATGAAGTCAAGTTATAAATTTTAATTGATTTTCATTAAGACAGAAAGGATTTAAGTGTAAACGTTACTTAATGTTAGAAGAGAAAACGAGTAGCTTTTAATGTTATCTTTATATTTTTTAGTTTTTATTGTCTACTTATAGTTATTTAAAGCCTACTGCCATGCTACTGTTATTCTACACGTGTAGCTTGTGGGTAAGTTATGGTGGGCGGGCATACAGCGAGCTGCGTGTTCAATACAATAACGCACTTAGGGTGCTGTTGGGGTGTATCAGGTATGTTTACAGAGGCGCAAGTTGACGGCTTTGCAACCATAATTAGAAAAAGGTGCGCCTCAATGATGACGCGTCTTCGCGGCAGTACCAATACCATCCTAAGGGTGTTCACAGATCGGTGGGAGACGCCCATGATGCGCCGACGGATGCTGCTACATGCCGTAATGTGAGTTGTTTTTGTTTTTATTATAATAAATATAACGTATACTAACAATTGTATGTAAACAAATTATTACTAACAAAATATGGAAAAGAAATTCTGAAATAAATTATCATTATTACTATAGTTTAATTATATACAGTGTGGGATATTATTTTGTCTGTCTTTACGATTTAAATTTTTAAATGTTAAGTAATTTATTTACACATGCCAAAATATTAAGTACATTTTAAACATAAATGACACTGTGACAATTATTTGTATGTATTTTTTTTTAAATCCATTCTATAAATAAAGTTTATTTTGCTCCTAATAAATAACATTCTGTTCATCCGGAACAGTAGCTGATTTGTGTCTTTTTCTTTTTAATTTCAATGTAGGTACAGATACAGATACATTTAACTTAGAAAGAAACCAAGACACATCTCAATAAACTTTATTATAGCGTATTAAGTTTCGAAAGGGATAATAAACCAAATAGTAGAAATAGAAGTTTACTTTAAGATATCAGTAACTTATATATCTATCAAAATTACGCCGCAACACACTAATAATTCCACCCCTTGTGACGTTTCATCACGGCACCCCATAAAGTCTCTAATTACTCTTTAGATGATTTCCCATAATCAACACACTGGCATCTTGTACATATAAGCATATATTGCTCTGTGAATTTAATGGGTTATCAATACACTGAAAGGGGATGAGCATCCATTAGTTATAACCGTCCCATGACGTTAATTACCTCATAATAATTATGAAGACATCAGATGCTAACGCTAGATGATTGCTTTAATTACAACGTACAACGTACTTACGAAGTAGATACTTGGATAAAGTCATTTCACTAATATTGTGTCATTTTTCTCTACTGGCAACATAGTCTTTTAACTCTTTTCATGTCATTTATCTTTCTTATGCTCACTTAGCCACATTATCATTTAAAACAATAATTCACAATATGTAAATACTGAAAATTATTTAATTTCAATAAATGTTTTACTACCAAAGTTGGTGATTAAACTTTTCCGACGTTACGTGAAAACAAAAGCGTCAAACTTTCAAAACAATCAAAAACGGTCGTCGCTTGCAGACGGCGCCATCTTTATCAGGAAAGTTGCGAGATTTCGCGCCAAAACTATAACAACATTCGCAAACAGGATTTAAACACAAACGCTCGCATTATCGGACAGATTACGTCCAGATTATAGTGGGTATGGGCTTCTAAAATTATTACGGTGCCAGCTAAGGCTAAAGTGTCCCATTTCGTGCGATTTATGTGCGAATGTAGGCACCACATAATCCACGGTGCGGATACAAGGGCGACTATAATTATGAGAAAACAATTTCCGGGATGCATCTCAAAGCCGCCCAGGATTATTTCGTACAGACGCCGTTTTTTTGTGGATTAACAATAGAGACTGTATTTCTTGTTAATGCTTCGTACAAAAAACGCGACGACACCTATTTTAATTCATTTGTTCTGAAACATTTATACAAAGATGTGTTCACATAAGCGTATATTTTTATCATGTCAGGCTACTCAGTATATATTCATATATATATATATATATATATATATATATTTATATGTAGAGTATCAATGATATAAAAGGTTAAATAAAAAATTCAAAATTAATAAAAAACTTAAGTACTTATTGCTTTCTTAACTGGTCATCATGACATTTCACTGCAATTTTTCCTAAGGTAAATAAATATCTGCTAAACAGTGTAGTGCTAAAGCTAATTTACGATATGATCACTTGATAACTAGTCGATATTTTCATAAACTAGGCGTGAATTTATCTGTTCATATCCTCAAACGCCGATTGTTTATTGATCTGGCCAGATCATATTATGATGTGACCGTCGATTTTTGACTAAATCATGAGCTGATCAATTCTATGATTTGGCAACGACATATAGAAAGTAAACTGCTTCCATCCTTTTCGAACCTTTTTTCTGTCGTGTCTTAGGCAAAGTGTATGCATAATTTTGTGATGACCGGTATACCTCAGCGCATATAAATACTTTAGTCTTACTTTTGTTGTTAAGTTTTAATATTTATTTTTAAAATTCATGCTTATGAATTTGTATTTTTTTTGGTATATTAGTTTAAAGAGGTAATCACAGGTTCTACTTAGATACTAGGTATTTTTTAAAGTCTTACTTCAGTATAAATTGCACTTTTATACAGTTATTTATATGCTATGCAACATTATGCTATAAACCCAAGCTACCGCTAAAGCGGGGCAGTAACGACTAGTTCTAAATCCAAAATATTTAAATTTACTAAATAACCGACTACGACCTATGAAATCATGCCTACACGAAAACCAGACGATACGAGATGGTAAAGCTCACCTTCTGCGAGAGCAAAGCCCGCACGACCTGCTGCGCGACATCGTCAAGCCTCCGTTCGTGGTCGCCCGCACCCAGACCCGCGGTGCACGCTGCCAGTTGGCTCTGGAGCCGCTCGTTTTCTGAAGTTACTGTTGATAATTGGCTTTGGTAGTGTGCTGCTGACGCCTATAAACAAATATCCCTTATTAGCATTTGTTTTAATCTTCCTAACAATTGAATCCAAGTTTGTTTAACTTCGGTACTAAAGTACCTTTCGTCCAGAAAGAAGTACTGTTTCCCAGGAAGGATACCGGCCGCGGGCAAAAAGTACAATTCTATATTTTTTTATGGTTTTCTCTAAGCATTTATTTTGATTTCTTGTAATTTTATTCTTTAATAAGGTAGTTTTTTTTCTATATATTATGAATTTATGACAGCATTAGACTTTCGTAAGATTCTGCTCAACTTTGCAATGTATCTGAGGCCAGAACTAATAAACACCTAGTCGAAGGTGTTCATTCACTTTGTAATATATCATAAAATAAGCCATTTTCTATTCTATGTCACTAGATGTAAGCAAGTATGAAAGCTTACGAGGAGAGTGATATCCCAAGTGACAAATCAATATTGCTTTTACTACAAAGTTTTCCGCAACTTGTAAACATAATTTACATCACCCCGTCACCCGTCAGTTTCAGTTATCCGAAACATTTTGTTTTTGTTTATTCGGCAACAAATCAAACAGGTTTTAAAAATGTCGTCGTTTAATAATAACTCGGCGAAAGGAAAAAACAAGCTTTTCTATCGCCCACTGCAATATTTTTTCAGTCTCACTCATCAAAACGTCACGCGCACTTCTGTCGTCGAGACCGCTAAAAAAATACACCCGAAAAGGGACCATCGTTTCACACTCTTAATTAAGCCGAGTTCTCACAACAAACAAAACCAGTTTAGCGTTGACCTCTCATGGTCCCCACTGGCCTAACAAACCCGTAACAAAGAGGGGTGTTCCTATTCAGAACCATAGGTCTACTGATATTTGATGAGATCCTATTTCCCGGTATATAAACGAGTTTAAACCTTAAATTTTACGTCATAAGGTCTGTTTCTATCATGATTTTGAATTGCGGTGCGAGGTTTTCATTAGTCATCAAGTGAGGGTGAGACAACGAATCTGTTTGTCTGTATGTCTGAAACAACACTCGGTTGATATGCAATGAAAGGGTTACGTTTGAGTGAGAGAGGTGCTTTAAATTGGGTAGTTTATTGAATTGTACACATTTTAGTTTTGCTGGTAGAAAATGTACAGTATTACCTAGGTAAAAATATTACTTATCGATCACCAAAAATCTGAAGCGGCACTCAGCTGTTGCTTGGAAGTAAACGTATATTCCCTTTGTTTAAAACATTAAATACAAACAACTGTGTATTCAAGTGTATGTAAATTTATAAACACTTTTATTAATTTAATGTAAACTACTCGTGTTTTTATAATTGTCAAAAATGACAAAAAGCAATTTCTTAAAAGAGTTTCATAAAAAATAGATTATATATCTGTATCTGCAGTCTTTGGAAAATCTATAAACTTTTTAACCGATAAGTGGTATCCGATGGATTTCCGCATGAAAAAAAAAATGTATACCGAGCATAGGCTTTCCTATGTAATAGCAATAAAGTCAAAACTTTGCCAAAAACAATAACCAATATACTCGTACCTAATAATATGTAGATGTACTATTAACGAGCTGTTCTGGTCTGTCTGTCTGAGCAGGTCTGTGATATTCAGACGTGACAGCTGTATAAATATCGAACGTGTCACTTCTGAATCTTGAAGTGAAGTAGGAGTAGGTATTATTATAATACACTCAACCAAAGATTATATACTCGACACTTATTAAGAAATATAAAAAGAAAATATAAATATAAAAGAAAAAAATTGTCCTTATTATTTCAAACAAAATTAATAATTGTATACTGTGTTTATGTAAGTAACCACAATACCAACAATTTAATTAAAATTCCACGTGATTGACGGCAACATCAGATCTACGTTTATTTCATGATTGAATAATGTATCCCGTCGCCATTTTCCCGCCGGAGTACTTAATTTACTAAATTTAATTTATATTTTACGTTTTGCAAACCACAGATGTTTTGCGGAATCTGATAATTAAAGTGAAGGGCTTTGATTGGTATTCAATCGAACGGGTGGGCTTGGCATAATGATTTAATTCCATTTGCCTCCATTTTGTTCTGTAATGCCAATAAAATTCGCGGTATTTGAAATTGCATATTTTTTAATCTGTGGTTTGTGTGTTGACAATTACAGTTACAGTTACTTATAGTCTACGATATGAAACTGAAAGGAAAATCGATAACTAAAACCGATTTTATTTATGGGTCAATTTGAATGTATTTCTTGTATTTTATAACTACGTGTAGTGAATAAAATTAAGTTTAAGAGAAATTGTGCTATGTAATTAATGTTGTAAGTACACTGTTTGTAAACCAATACCTACCTACGATTATTTGCACTGACTGACAGATTTATCAAGGCAGAGCCTACACCTACACCAACACCGTTGGAGCTACAAACTTGAAAAATCATCGGCCAAAAGGTACCTGAGCATGGCCACACCATATCCATACTTATATTATAAATGCAAAAGTGTGTCTGTCTGTCTGTCTGTTACCTCTTCACGCTTAAAACGCTGAACCGATTAAGATGAAATTCGGTATAGAGATAGTTTGACTATGACTAATAGTTTGACTACCTACTTAGCAACGCTAACCAACGTACGCAAAAATCGAATGATAAATCACAGTTCACTGTGTTTTTGTATATCTATATATTATATATTATAGTATAAATATGCTTTAGTTTAATACTGTAGCAATTGCTTAGTAGGGTTTACATTTGGGTGTGTGGATGACGAATAAAATATATTTTTGTCGAGACTTTTTCTATTTCTTAAAGTTTTGTTTGTTATTATCTTATCTGTACCATAGTAAAGTAAGCAAATCGAAACAAAAACTGAACTTTTATCTGCAAGTAAATCGACCTATATTTTATTTTAAAAGTAAAGTATTTTTACCAATAATACGCTACTTAGAAGTTATTTTAAGACACGATAGTGTTTACTACATGAAAACAATATAATCTCACTATAATGAATTTGTTTCTGTCCGCAGAAAATAAAAGTAAGGATGATGCTTTTTAAAAGGTTTTTGGAAATTTCGCGATCATGCATTCATCCCGGTTTTATAAAAGTTCGACATTTTTAGAAATAAGAAATAATCAGTAGCAATAGCTAGCAATTACAGGTTATTGATCTCTATAGAAACACCCAGCTTGATGTAAATAGACATATACATGCATGCAAATATTTGTCTTAATGATGCAAATCAATACCGCCCCTCCCGTTTTCCCTCATAGCCCGTCTGTCTACAACTATAGTATTATATAACACAGAGCTTACATGAACACATTTTTCGTTAATTGAACTAACCGCAACATGTCAACCTACAACAAATCAACAATACCCTGTCATTCCCAGAACTGGCGAATCAGAAGATTAATGGATAAATAGAAATCGTACCCCGTCAAGCCGAAAATAGTCATTGTTTCGGCTTTCAACGAAGTGATTACATTTGCAGCAATAACTAGAATTAAACGGCACTGCTATTAATCATAGCCAGTGCGCAGTACATCATTAGCTTTGTTCGGTCACGCGCGGCAGTGGCCCGGGGTTAGGTGGTTTTTAGTGATCGGGAATGTGTTAAAATGCGGAATAATTGCAGTAGTTTCGTGTGTTTATTTCGTGTATTAGTGCGTACTGGGTGTATTGTTTATAGCACCAGGGCTGAATATGTACCAAGTTTTGATAAATGATATAATATGTAAATTTAAGTCCTTTTGATGTACCTACACGTCATTTCTGGTATAACCACACCACACTCTGTTTATACAAGGCTGCAAAGCGTCATCACACCCAATTGATAATGCCTTCTAAGGTATTTTGGAAGTTATTTACTTTATTTCTATATTTTACTAAATGTACTTTAGTAATAAAAAAGAAAAAAAAACATTGTTTTCAAAAAATGGCCTCAAATTATCTATAATTTAACCATTGTGATTAACTTTTTTGACGAAAAATAAATGCGTTTCAAATATTGTATTTCGTACCTTACATGAGAATTGAACTATGATCCTATTAGGTGCCTTACCCTACCTTTACAATATTATAATTTGACATCAATTATTCAATGTTTCCCAACAGCGGTCGGTTAATAAATGGAGGCAGTTTCCAATTTAGCTGGATTATCTTATCGTGGAGTATTCCGAGTTAGTTTGGTATACCGTAGACCCGCGCCTGTAATAGCTACCTATTTCGTGTGTCCATTGTAAAACGTTAATTTTACAATATAATATTTCTTTGGGAATAATATTTTATATTTCGATTAAACAGAGTCCATGTGTCAGCCACCATAAATAAATGGATTTGTAACGAGTTGTAATGTAATGAGGAATGAAGACTTGACGTAAAATGAATATTTCCTAAAGCTTTGACGGCCAATATGTAAGTGAGATAAAAACTTTGGTGTGTAATACTCTTCTGTCTGTCCCATAGACGTATAAGCGTGATTGTCTGAATGTTTGTAAATCCTTGACTGATGGAAAAAATGTCATAAAGAAATGACCCTAAAATGCAGCTTAGATTGCCAAAAGTCGCTTATTACATTTTGGTTTATATGAGTAAATGTATCCCATAAATATTAATTAGATCACTTTTTCTTACGAAACTAAAATATTACTACATTCAATTATTAGAATTATGAATCTAAAAAATATATATAAAAACAGAGACCATAAAACCGTATCGTGCCGTCCGTGGACTCAATCTAATTGGTTTCGTTAGTGCAGAACTATGCGAAGCGAGGCGTATGCGGTAACGTAATTATGATACCTCTCTGCCTAGCCACCAGCCGGATAGCGTAATGAATAACTCCTCGTATAAAATGCAGCTCAAGCTTTTTAGATAGTAGTCTGCATTTAATTATTTCAGTTTTTGTTGTGTTGTTTCCCGTCCTAAACTCTGCAATGTAAAGCCACCATGTAAAATTAGGGTATTGCAAAACTAGAATAAACTGAAAATATTTGAAAATTAAAAACATTGAACTTAGTA